GCTGAAGAAATATGAGCGAAGTGATTGCCTTCATGCAAAACATGCAGCATTCAGCCATATCCTCGTGGTTTCTGATTAACGAGAACTTAAATTCGGAGCAAAACTACCATTATGTAACTGATCAGATATGCCAGAGAAGCAAATTCACAAAAAGAGTAGGCTGCATCTAAATGACTAGAGAAAGATGCTGCTTGAATGTGTCTGTGGCAAGTGTTACATTGGTATAAATGTTCAAAGCATATTGAGCATTAATGTAATTCCTTTATAATTAAAAAAAACAGCACTAAATCAATGAAAAGGATTGTTTAACCATGTGAAATGACTTGTGTAAGAATAAAAAAAGTTACACTTAAATTTAATTAATAGCTACAAAATCCAGCCGGTTAAAATAGTTGCAACGCTGTGTATCACAAACAATGTAATGTTTACGTGTTATCAAGGTCTTTTCTAAACTGATAAATTATGTAGAAACGCGTTGACTGTCATGCTCGTTCTAAAGCTGAAAAATGAGAGTTGCGATAAAAACATGGGCAACAGTTTCGAAAGTTGTAAGAACCAATCAGCACGACGCTATCGGACTTTGTAGAAGAGAAAAGACATAAATTCAACTTCTCAGTGAAAAAGGTTTGCACAGCATGATCAGAAATTCGTGCGACTAAAGATGCTTTATGAGGTTAAGGAATCTAACAAGAGAGTTAAAATAAAGATCAGCCTGGCAGAGCTAAAGAACGACTCCGAGTGTTCTAATAGGAGAGGACATTGGTCATAAACCCATGCAAAGAGTTACGTATCTCACCTGATGCGGATTGAGGAGCTTGCGGAAAGACGTGATCAGGTCAAGGCCCTGACATCCACCTGATTTTACGTTCACGAATACGAGGAGTGGTTGAGTTCCATCGAGTATGTGCTCTGGCTGTATCCGAGGCAGGATCATTGCCAAAATTGGTCGATCCTCAAATGTGCTATTTTTTAGCAACCGATAAGCCTCATCTGCTTTCTCCGCATTCGAATAAATTGCCACAAGGCTTCCAAAGTCGTAGTATATTACCTCTACAAAATGTTATGATCACCTTACTCGAAGGAATGAACTTTCGACATAATATATAACACGCACAGTTAGTTTTGAACCAACGTCTGCCAATTTAAGGGTGTTTACTTCTGGTAAGATTTTCCCTTGAGGTGAAAAAAGAACTAACTAATGTGCATAAATTTATCAGACTCAACATTTTTCTTGGATTACAAGAAAGTTTCTGCAAGCGCATTTACAATGTACACCTGCTTTCGAGAAGGTCTAGTAACTAACATTTCGACGAAGAAATTTAGTCACGATTAACAAGAACTTGGGTTACTTTAGTGCAATTAAAATAATTTATTTCGTCTCTAATAATTCGTAACTTCAATTTATACTAGTCTCGCAGACTAAAATCACAATGCGTGGAGTGTAGCGATAAGCTAGTCTTTACTGGCCTAGAGTAATTCTGGTCTTGGGGAACGAGAAGGCTCTACACATAAAACACTTTCGACCAAAAAAGTTTTCATTGGCAGACAAAGCTACGAAACCTAAGATCAATGCTTTAATCGGAAACCGTGTCACCAGACGGCCAAGTAGCCTTTAACGCCAACAGACTACATAGGAAATGACATTTTTCAAAGAAATATGCGAGAAGTGCTTGCTGGTGCAAGTAATCCTGGCTTATTAAGCCAGAATTAAAATAGCCTATACCCGAAAACGCCTATTTAACTGTTCGTGTGCGCATAATGACACACAAAATAGATAATTGGGAAAGGGTAAACTAAGCCGTTGATCTGTACACAATAAAATTCGTATCACAAAGAACGATGCACAATGCATCAGTTTTTTTAATATTATTACAAAATACCGCCATCTGTATGCTTTTTAAATATAGTTAATGAGGGGGAGTACGAGAAAAACGTGGAATTGGTGATACTATAAGTGACGAATGAGCCTAATTAGTGGCAGGTTTGTAGACTCCAAATAATAAAAACCAACCAACCAATTGTTCTCATTAAACTACAATATTTAATTACCATATAACAATATACCAGTAATTCAAACTTTTATTCACGAATACCATCTATGTTCATTTTTTTGAGATTATCAAAATACTGTTTTACAGAATCGGTTGTAGAAGTCAGTAATTTGAGCATGTAAGCTCTATTGACAAGATGTTATTGAAGTCACCAAGGTTAAACATTTTATGAGGAAATACTCGAAAAATGTTCACATAAATTAGACACTTCGTAGTCCATGAATCAAATCATTCAGAGTTCAATAATACTTAGAGGTGAGGATGTAGGGAAAGCCGAGAATGAATGCAGACAGCATCCGCAAATTTACTTGACGTCTAGGGGTCCTTGACGCTCTATTTACATCGTCAGCTCTTCTACGAAGCCAGTCACTGCATATTGAAGTGCACAACATTCTCCAACATAACTGATGTGTTAAAACAAGAAAGAATAATTGATAAGAAAAAATTTTAACTTAGTATGGAGCCAAATCTTGGTGAAGAGAAGACTGTTGGTTCCGGAGTTACGCCAGTTATTGCTAAATCTAACAGTTCTTGGACATTGCTTAAGTCTACTCGGGCTCTGGTCACGCAGATAGTGATGATGAAAAATGTGCCTGTTCTACCCTCGACGGGGGAAAGCTTAACGATCACAGGTTACTGCATCGACGGTAAGTTGAAAGAGCTGACAGGGTAGCTTAATGGCGGTATGCAAAAGCAATGCTCTAAGATATCACCGCTCATAAAACTCGGCTATTTACGACGTAATCTGACATATGGTAGACGCATTTGAAACATGACAGGGTATTGAAAGTGCTTTAAAACCCGATAGTGATTATGTGGGCAAGAAAATACCACTGCAAACTTGAACATCAGGCATAACACAGACAAAGCATCTGACCTAAAAGCTCCAGATTTCACGGCACAATTACATATTCTTATGGAGGTAAAAGGTAAAGATAAATGAGTTAAGAAGTTTACTACGACGTACACTGCATTTCCACAGGTGAATGGGGCTAATGGGCTAAAGGGAACGGATCATAAATGGGTTTCAAAAGGGGAACTGAGATCTTAATGTTTTGTAAACTACTCTAAGTGAGGTTCTAAGTTGAAAGAAACACCCGAAATTGACCTAATAAACTTTGAACATCATAATATGGTTGCTACGTTGCTGCTGGAATAAAACGATGACTTAGGGGTCGTAATTACTTCCAACCAAAGTACCTCAACATGGGGTCCCAACAAATTAAATTTACCTCTGCTCCTTGGAGTCAGCAAAAAACAAGGGAAAAGTGGAAGGTCAGAGCATAAAAAAGACAAACGGCCTATAGATTTTACCATGACACACATGACTTATTTGATAAGATGTGATGGAAGAAAGTCATTAAGTAAAATTATTATTATTATTAATATCAAAATTTATCGAAGGTAACCTAGACGAAAGATGTCGAGTTTTAAGACAAGATGTACTAAAACGTCTCGGGTTTCGCTAATGTCCCCGCAGTATATAGTAAGTGTGCGGGCTTGTATGATGCAAATTGAAAGCCATAACAGACATTTTGGAGTCAATGAAGCATCCCTTCACGACAAATTAAGAAGAAAAATCAGGGGCCACATTTAGATTTATCAATGTCTCGGGACCTGAAGGGCTAATGTTGCTTGAGCGAACACGCAACACCCTGGGGACCAAGCGGTATTTAGGGTTGCGCGAAGGCCTCAATCGAAGTCACGCCCCCTTCTTCCGATGCGGACAATTCCCAGGCACGTATTGGAGCTTATTACTACTAGACATGAGATGTAACATTTAGATGTTAGACTTGAATTATCTATAGTTCCAAGTCTGATTTTTACTAATCGCTACTTACCTTTTACTCACTGAACAAGCAGTAATCATGTCGAATGCCACTTAAAGTGCACAAAGTGGTGAGCCTCCATATTTGCTGTATACATTAGTGTTTACGCTGTTCACTGTCATAATGTTTATTGTTTAGAAAAACACGCATATGTCCTCGACCGTTCCGGTCGTCTCCTTTTCTTTGTGGGTTCTGCATGTCAGTCCGTCTTAGTAACGAAGCTATTGTAAACGTTCATTACTTGCAGACAGCATTAAAGAACGTTGTAACCAGAATTTATTTTTAAAACATGCATATACCATACTTAATGGATAGACTAGCTAATCATTCCGAAGAAAACGCGACCTAATTTGACGTAACCTACTTTTGGAGAAGCAGGTTGATGGCAGAAAAAACACAATCAATGAAACATTAGTTACTCCACAATAGACGAAAAACTACTAATAGTTTCAAATTACAGCGAAAACCAAGGAATTATAGGTTTGGGTTCAGGGTTAAATAAATTAGCGACACTAATATCCTTCTTTGGTTCAAAAAAGATGCACCTACCAATGGAGTCCCATTTATTCTGACTTCCTAATCGTTCCAGCAGAATGATTTCGTACAGCCGTTGGCTGAGACCTTTTTTAAGGTTTCCAACGAACAGAGAGACACCTTGACCACAGGGGTCCTTCACGGAGCGAATGTAAAAACGAGTTAACCTCAGGGTGCGAACAGACTCTACTCGAGCGCTATCGATAATCTCCCAGGGGTGATCCGTTGGGTGGAGCACTCGTTCCACCAATCCGCGGTCAACCACTGTCTCCACCAAACTAAATTTCTTCGCATCCAAATGCTAGGAGGAAAAACAGCATGTGTTGATCGGAGTCTGTCAACAAAAAATGCAATCACACTATTTTTCATTCTTTGTAGTACTCATGGTACAACAGTCTAGTCTGACTATTGCTTCAAAGTTTGGACGCATGCATCTACAAGAATTGCATCAATTTAACTTTAAAGTACAGTCAACTTGGAGCACCAGATAATTGTCGCAATCTACAATATATGCGAATATTAGAGCTGGAGAATTGCTAAGTATCATTTATGTCCAGTAGCTAATAAAACGCGGATTAAAAAACAATGCGAAGCAACCACATTGAGCGCAACTCACCCCAACACCCAAGCGATGAAGAGAAAGCACAAGTACATCATTAGCCGACGTTTCAGGCGTTATTGACACTTGTATTGAAGGTACACTAATGTCGACGAACTCGCTAAACAGGACAAAGCGGTGAAGAGCAGTTTCACTTTGCATGCAATAAAGTAGATCTTACGTTAGTGACCCAGGATAAACACTGATGTAGTCGCGATTCTCCTCTCTTTCCACGCAACGAAGGATAATTTGAGGTCGCCGAGTTTCGAACTGAAGTTGTAGTTTGAATGGACCGTTGGAGTCCAACCGATGCTCTGCACCATCTATTACAATGAATTTATATAAAACATCTACTGAAATGATTTGAGCAAGACTACGTAAAATATCAATGCTCTATCACTAAGCCTCTGCGAAACAGTCTCAAGACGCCAGGCATCAACACAGAATTTTAGTTAAAAGCGATTTGACCAGAAACGGTGTTGTCCAATAAACCGGCCGTCTCAGCGTCACACGTCCCCTTTTTAACGGCGTGTCCGTCAGTCACACGGGCCCATCTGTTCATTCATCTCTGTGCTCGAACACCCATACTCGTTTTGTCCATCCGGCCATTCAGACGCTTACACTTTTACTAAATCATCCAAACTGAATTAGTCATGCACTCATGTTAATATACGCACACGAACGCACAACTTGATTGGGCTATCCAGTAAGCGGTTGTGCCTCGCTCGCTTCGGTCTTCTTTATCTTCGCAGGTACCAAGGTAGCGTAACGGGGCTAGATAGAACTCAGGGGCCCCAGAGTATAACAGGGACGTGTTTATTATCCACAGAGTAAGTAGTAAAGAACTTTTCAAATCCGCTTAACTACCAAATTTAAGGTCCAATAACTTAAAGGGAAACACATGTCAAAAAATTACCTCGCTCATTTATTTCGACCAGACAGAATTGGTCTCCTTCGTCCGGTGGAAGCTTGAATGCCTTCAAGGAGAGCTCAACTACCTTCCGTACAGAAACATTTCTTCCCAGCGAAAGATATCGACACTGATGTCGTCTGTAACGATCCATGCCGTCATACACGCGGACGTAATCTGTATTAAAGATAGATCAGAAAAGTCAGCACAAATGCAAAAACGGCAAGAGTATACTTGAATCTAAAAGGGGAATTTAGCTACTCCTTACCGTCAAAATCACAGTCGGATTTGTCACGATTCCCACGACGCTCGAAACCAGATTCCTCCAAACTTTCACCACTGCTGAATTCCTCCATATGCGAGGAAACTAGAAACAAAAAGCAGCATTAAGCAACAACATCCTGGGTGAAACGAGGCAATGGAAAAAAATGCTCACGAGTGCTGACTGGCAAAACTAGTTTGGTTTGAGTTAGGAAATGGTGAGTTTGTTTCTCGTTACATAACGAAAACACGACAACAGAATAGACTGGATCCCATAAATTTCGGATTTGCAAAAAATTTACATATCATTGGACAGAAAATGGAGTCTGTATAATAAGCAAGATCATGCATAGCACAACAAACGTTCGTGTACATCACGAACAGAAGTGTTTACAGATGACGTCCACACATAGAGGCAGCAAAGCATCAACAATTTTCCATTTATATTATCGTTTAAACTTTACGCTGTATATTAACATGAATACTAAATGGGTTTAGTCACAGTAACATCTGACGCAGCCGAAGGCCACGAAAACGTTACGATGTGGTCACGGCTGGTTAGAACTAGGAAGGCCAGAACAACTAGAGGCAAACGAGGGAGCCTGACGTGCACCCACCGGTCCACCGCATCATGTTAGAGAAAAGGAGAAAAACGTGGGTACTTCATGCTACATCAGACATAAGATATTTGGCTTAATTGAGTGTCCATGACTCATTGATTGAAATCGGCGCACTACCACAGTTTCTGCCAGTTTACCGTCGTTTGACCGGATGCAGTTGAAATGGCTTCAGAATAACACCGTAAAAAAGCTAGGGTGGTTTGGTTTTATCGAAAATGGACATTTTTCATATGGTTTGACATTGGGAAGACGACAACAATCGTTAAAAGAATGGAATCTGAAGAACCCAGTAGGTTTGTGTGCAATCCACAGAAAAGGACCCTCGAATTGTGATCGGCGTCGCTGTGAGGCAAGTTAGCGCATAGCTTGGTCTACCACATGCCACTAGAACACCACAACTAAGTACTAGTGAACCCGCAGCTCAGGCGTCCCCAGGGGAGTTAGGCAAAGATGGACACTGCCTGAGAGTTAACACCTATCCAATAATGTCGCTGCTAATTTGCACCAATGGGACGGGACCCTTGGCTCGTGATGCAACTTGGGCTCATGCATTGGCTGCAGACACCCAAAAGAAATACCCATTGTGAGCAGCATGGCCAAAGTCAACTGGGCGACCGAGGCTGCCATTTCTGGTGGTTTCCCAGATGCAAACAAAAACGCGCGAAAGGACACTTTGTTCCCTTCCAATGCAGTACACCTAGTATCCCGATAAAAGCACGGCATCCGGTCATGCTAGCAATGAACGGTGATGGAGTTACGTTAGGTGCGACCGGTGTAGCGGAAAACTTCGTCGTTCGTGTCGTCGTCGGCTCTTGTTTGCCACGATTATAGCGATTTCGGCCACTCGAGAAAGCTGAAACCAGGGTGACCGAGCGTGTTCACGTTAACACCTACTTCTGTTTATTTTTGAAAAAAAAGTAAAAGTAAAATCCAGGTGTGTTATAACGTATTGGGGCCAATTTCCTGCCTTAGCAATACCAAGTGGAAAACGGCCGTAATGCATTTATGAAGATAGTGAGTTGCTTAAAATAAGAACCTCGAAACCGCTTAAGAGAAGCTTTTACTCCGCAGCCAAGGCCCCGATGGGAAAGATCTAGGCGAAATCCAATAATTAACTCCAAGTTAATAAAATGTAATGTGAACTTGATTTACGACCGGGGTAGAAATCTGGTTGGGTGTTCGGTAGGCCAATTATATGTTCCATAAGGAGGCTGGTTCTGGGGATTGAGACAGCTTGCGGAGGCAGCATTATATCCCTTAGGGGGCCGTAGTTGCATTCCACGGGAAGGTTTCGGAAGCAGGTGTAGTGGACCTGTCAAAATGATAAAATTATGTAGGTCGGATTATTGCCTGTTGCAGTAAAATCTGCTTGGTAATTATATAAACAAGTCGCACGTGTGGGAATTATTATTGGTCTAAAGACACGAGGAAAATCCTCTTTTTAAAGGAGGATTTTTCGTTTGTTAACGTGTAGCGAGAAACGGATTTCACCCTTCCTTCGACTAGTGCTACAGTAGTTGTATGAAGCAAAATAATGGCCATTTAATATAATTTAAGTAATACAAAGACTCATGCAGCTCAAAATAAGCGATTGAAAGTAATACCTGAACAAAACTGTCTAGGTGATGAGAGCTGGAAGAGTTTTTTTGCTCGAGGAGTTAGACAAAATTTTGGTCAATATATTTAATAGCATACTTGCTGCATCCGATGGACAAATATAGTCCATCGAAATAGACACTTTGTTGGCGTCTACATTTAGGATGTGGTTTGCCCTAGATCTTGTGCTGCATAATTTTACATTGAATGTGACTTACTTGCAGTTTTTGCCTCGTGATCACTCTAATGCATTATTATCAACTATGGACACTTGAAAATGCCTAAACTAGGCTATTGTAACATGTGGGGTAAGACGTTTACTGTTTCCTCAACCTACATAGAGAAATACTGCCAACTCACTGTCACACCGCACCACTCGCAGCGGAGCCCCGTCAGGCATTCGGCGGACCAACAGGTTTTCTTGCAACTGCTACATTTTGAATTGACCGGGAGATTTCCTTCGCGCCAGTGGTGCACAGGTTTGTCGGTCTGAGGGGTGATTGTGAATGGGAGTGACGGGGCTTGTGGGGCGGCAGAGATTGAGGGCGCGTTACGAAGCCCCTCACTTTCCTCTGGTAGGAGAGCCGAAGAAGCGAGCTCGGTGCCCGAATTCACGGTACCCCACGCGGCAGACCGTATCGCCGCTGTGCACATTGCATAGGCTGTAGACGAAGCCACTCCTCCAGCGCCTGGGCGTAATGAATCGAAATTGGTGTTGCTACCTCCGAAAATGCCACCACTCATCAATCCTAAGGTAAATTGTAGCTCAGGAATGGCGGCAACACGGGAAAGGTTAATGCTTAGAGGAGTTGGAGCACTTGGTTTGCGGAGAGTCGGAGGGCTCTGGAACAGGGAAGATGAACGGGGAAGATGAACGCGTAAAACCAAATGCCTAACGACACCAAACATCGGCAGTCAGTAGACCAACTGCTCCGAACATCAAGACGGGACTGCTGTGCACAACAGCATTTGTGGATTTCCTTTTAACATACTCATTAACGCCAATGTAGGAGTTCAGACAGTATGAAACGCATGGTTGTGGTGAAATGAAATTTGTCGCGACCTTAGAGGAGATCATATCTTAGACACTTTACCACGACATGGTGTCAAGTACAGTTTTCTATCTTGCATTAGTGAGAAATGTTACGAGTCAGAGGGTTTCTCAAGGCCAAAAATTACTTTGAATGTTGGTAAATTGATTCGCATTGTATACGTTAATTTGGAAAAACAAAAAATGAATGTTGGCGAATGTTAGCATCCAGGGCAGGATGTGACTATGTCTTGTGCAATTAGCATAATACCAAATCAGGTGGACGCCCTCCATCTCCACATACAAAAGTATACAATAACACGAGCTTCCAACAGCCCTCCCTCTTCATTAGTGGGTCTCGAACCGCACCGGAGCCGCCAGATGATCTTAGCCCAGTTATACTATGAGGATACCCTAAACTAAAGATCAGAGACGATGGAGACACAACCGTTCATTGGATGGCTCGGTCTTGTTCTGTGTGCGTCATGTCGCTATGCATACAAATACGTGTATGGCCAATGGATTATGTTGGCAAATACTGTTCAGGTGGTGTAAGTTGAAGTGACCGACCGGAAGTGACTCAGGCAGTAGGGGCGGTGTGTGCACAGAGGTATATCATCAGGCTTATATGCTTGGGTAAAAAGGAGGCAGTGTATCTAAGTATGTGTCGACAGAGTTGAAAGAATTAAAACAACGTTATTCACTACAAGCCTATTTATATCAAATTTAGATGAGACGAGTCAGCTCACCACAAATCACAATGATTTTGAAGTCACGGAGTCTTTTTTAGTCAGATATTACCATTTACTGCCTTCGGCTTGCCGTCATTCGTGGAAAAGGTCGTCCGAAGGGGGACAATCTTACTAAATTTTTTGAGGAGGGAAAAAATATGATTCGACCATTGCATCATCAAGCAGCTTTTCAGTTATCAGTGTGCATTTGACGAAATACAAAGGAAAGTGAGTGAGAAATAGGCCAAATAGAATTTTACTAGGCTCAATAAGGGATGGTACGAGCATTCAATGGAATAGGGTCAATGTTTCACTATCCTAACTATGTGGTGGAAGAGTACATAAATTGTGTAATGCAGAAGGCGATTTTCTGACTTCCGATTCATCTGCCTAGTAGAGCCACAAGGGTAATGTGATTACTCATTAGAAATAGACCAATCAAGACCCGTATAGCATCATCTGCTACTCTAGTCCGGTGAGGCCATAATCTAAAGCACCTGAAATCACAGCTAATAATATGGTAGATTACGATTTAAAGGCTGCATCGTTCCATAAAGGATGTAGAATGTGATGGCCCATCTATGGTGGCTTATCATCAGAACGAGATTGCCTGAGGGGGACTTTGTGCCTACGGTTCCCTCCCTCAAGCCTGTCATTAGTGCTCACAAAAGTATTCTATAACCAAGCTCATGCACGCATCTCAATGACGCCTTGACTCTCAGGGAAGTAAACAATTGTGTCAGCCTCATCGTGCCGACATTCCACTTTCCCCGGGATGTGATGGGCAGTTTTGTGATTACAACGTTGATGACCCAAAAGTGATTCCTCAAAACCCTTGTGACCTACATTGTATTGGAAGACATGTTTTAGTACCTAGAGTTTAACAAAAGTTCTCAAATCGAATGTCGGTAGATTGGCTTTTCGACAAGTTAGTCACTTAATTGAGCATAAATCAATGACGAATACAAAAATACTTTTTGTCCTTCGGATGGTTTTGAGACGGAGCAGACTTTGCAATCCGCCGAG